CAGAAATAGCCTCGTTCTTTATTGTAAGAGTAGGTAAGTAGTGCTTGTTAACCCAGCCCCTCGTAATCACCTGATGTCGTCGACCGCAAGGGGAGGGGACCTCTCTTCTTGGCAATCAAATCCTTCCCGCTTCTAGAAACCACCCGTACATCAATCTATTTTTGGATCATACTCAACCTGCTATTCCCATGGACCCGGTCAAATCATTCATTGGACCAGATGGACGAGCCAATGTCCGATTTTCAGGCCTTTGTCGCATCGACGCCTTCCCTCACTTCTTCCGCGATGCGACCAGAAGACGCTCAGCTTCAAGTACCTCCCTGCGCCACAAAAATCAACTGCCTGCGGCCACCACTATTGATCAGCTCTACCACTACGATACCGAGTGTGTCCGAGTAGCTTCAGCACTCCGTCCCACCCACCCGCAGCTTCACTTCGCCCTACCTGCACCCTGCATGGACTGACGACCCTGTAAAAGCTGAAAAAACCCACCTATCGACCTAATATGGCACTGCCATCACCTCGACTCGACTTCCATCCGGACGAGGTATCTTCAACAATACCTGCTACTACTGACGAAGCCCCCGCGTTATCTTCATCCAGTGCCCTAGCTCGGTTCGAATTCGAAGCCGGCAGAGGCAATGAAGGGACGAAGATACTCATGGTAGAATGGGAAGATGAGGAGGGCAAGGAAGCGAGTACCGGGAGCTGGGAAGTATCTTGGGAAGGAAAGAGCACAGTATTGTCGGCAAAAGATGGAGCAGAGGACAAGCTACACCGTATATATTTTCTGCTGGCACCGGGAGTGAACATACCACGGATCGTCAAGCTGGCGCAGAAAGGTGGAAAGACAATGCAGACAAACCCGCTACCAGCTATATTCCCAGCCGAACTTGGTGTATCTGCAACTACTGCCGGGAAGAAGGGGGTACTCCACACAGTATATGCCAAGAAGCGGATATCGGTGCTTCAGAGAGAGATCGAAGCGGAGATGAAGAATGGCGAAGGTGTAGGGTTAGAGATGGCCATACAAGAAAAGCAATGGATTGAAGAGAACTTCGGTGTTGGACCACGGGTTAATCCAGAGCTACAGTCGCCTACCAGTCCCAAGAGTCCTGGAGGCAGTCGTCTGACAGAGAAGCTCAAAGGCTTGAAGCTGGGAACAACTGCCTCTGAGTTGAGTGGTTTAACAACAGGTGAGTAAAGTGCTAGGCCTCTAAATTACTAGCTAAGTACGACTTAGATCACGGAACCTCCGGGTTTGATAATCGATCATCGCATCCCCTCTCTCCAGAGATGGGTGATGTTGCTGTGTCTTCCTTTGCGCTGTTCCACAGCGCCGCTCCATCTACTCGAGTTCCTAGAACTGTTCCCCTAAGCCCACCTGATCATCTGCTTGCTAGACAGATCGGTTCGCGGGGTAGCAGTCGACTTAGTTCACTCGATGCAGTTACTAGTGGTGACATTCCATCAAGAGATGATGAGACGGAGGAAGGACTTTTTGCTGTTAAATTGTCCCCTCGCAGCCCTGAAATGACCAAGAGTCCTTTCAGCTTCGCGAGTAAAGATACAGCACCGTGGTTGAAGGGTAATGAATAATAGCTGATCTAGAAAGTTCTCCAGGAACATTGACGAGTCATGTGGGATTTTGGGAAATGTAAATGTATCATGTGGGAATGCCTTACATTGGGTGATATATCACACTCGCTCTTATATACCCTTCTGGAATATGACTCGGATTTTTCGAGAAGATTGGGTCTGATATCAATCTTAATCTACGGTTTATGATGGTTGGATGTCTGTATACGATTTGGGTTAGTCTAGCTAAAATCAAGCCATCCCTCTTACTTGCACGCTTAGCCACTGTGCATTTAGGGGTAGCACTCGCTCACATACTTCCGAGCTTTGACAGGTGGGTGAGATAAAACTAGCCCCTCGGTGGAAAACCTTATTCCCACCCCATCCCGCTATTCCAGAATAGGGACTTCTCTATTTCACATCTACTTCGAATCACATTTTCCGCTGGTGTCAATTGCTTTAATTTCAAAAAGCCTTAGAAGTCTTGAAATAGTTCGCAATTTTCCTTGCATGGCGACTTCAGCCCCACCATGAAATGCAGGAAGGTTTCATGAATCGCGGGGTCCCCCAAGACTTCTTTCCACGGCTAATTTACAATATTCTATATCTTGTATCTTGACACCTACTGAAAGCCTTGAAAATGGAGAAGTCTATTTGTATATATACACGGAGTAGAAGTATGGTATTCCACGGTTTTCAACTTGTTATTTTATATTTTGAGGTCAGAACTGTGAACATACTCAACCTTTGACTTCAACTACCACTCAGTCAGAACCAACCTCGTCTTTGACTTCGCTGTCAGAACCAAGCCCCATATCAAAGATCTTCAGTTTCGAACAATTCAGACGTACGAAGCGGAGCTAGAAAAGTGGAGTGAATCGATCTTTAAAGTTGAAGGAGATTCACTTTGAGGTAAAGGTCACATTCCTTGAAATGATGACACCTCGACTGTAGACAGGTAAGTCAAAAGTGAAACTCCTTTTTGCGTGCTACCGTGAGTGAAGGCAGTAGTAGTAGTATTTCCTACACGCAACGATCTTGAAAAGGATACTTGCAAGCATCGCAAACTCACACACCACTAAAGACCCTCGACAAACAAGCAACATCCTCCCAATCATGTCTCAAGAAGATGATGCTACTCCAGATTATGGCCTCAGCAGTGCTCTAATGATGTTTTTAAGACCTTTCTGCTCGAGGAATTGCAAAGAGTTCACTGTTATAATATTACGAATGGAAAGTGGCACAGCAATCGGGAGTTAGGAAACCACACAATTTCCAAAAATGAGATACAAGTAGTAGCATTAGTAAGTATAGCCGTTGACTAAGAATCTCGAACAATCCAAAAAGCCGTGGCCAAGAAACCAACAACCCTATCCACACTTATAACTCCATTACTTGGAAGTCATCCTGGTCCGACAACTCGTTTTCCTTCAGGTATGCCTTTCTCCTATCCAAGTATTCCCTATACTGAGACTTTGGGACAGCCATAAAACTGTCCCTCCAAACCCGATACCCAGTCTTCTCCCAAACCTCCAACTGCAAAACAAACGCTGGATTTGGATTAATACCTGGCCTCTTCCCCTTAACCTCCTCGAATACCTCCTTGAACGACTTGCGGTGCTTTCGCATGAGGTAGGCGATGATTATCGTAGCAGACCGAGATTGACCTCTGCCGGAATGGACTAGGACAGAACCCTCGGTAGAAACAGCGGAGTGATTTTCGAGGGTATTTCTTTTGGTAGTTGTAGTTGGTTTGGGGATGAACTGATCGATAAAATCGCAACACTCCTCCATGCTCTTCAGCAGATCCTGACCAGCACCATCACAACATTGTATCCACAGATGTTGACCTGGTGGAACTGAATTTCGAAATCCTTTTTGGTGCCAAGAGTGCTGGTTTCTGCCGACGAGAGATAGGACCGAGGTGATGTGGTGTTTCTCGTGTGTGGGTGCCACTTGGGGCTGGGAAATATACCCACTCATCAACAAGCCAGGTAAAATCCCAGATATGGATGGAGATGGGGGAGGGACTGTTGGGGGGTAAGGAGATTCCATCGCAGTTGTCGTTGTTTTGGGTGGGCTTTTGAGAAGATGGTTACCAATGATGTTGGAGTAAGGATGGAATATCGAAGGAGGGGAAATCGCGCGTCAAAAAAGGCTGTTTAAGACGGGAAGCTTTTCCGTTAAATTTTCAAATGGAGTTTTAAATGGTCATCATGCGTAAGCGAGTTGAGGCTATTCACCAAGTGTCTGTTATTTGTAGAAGTGCCCGAGATGGATGTATTCCGCGGTGTGTTTTCATGTGAATAGCGGTCGGGAGACTCTGACATACCATCAATTCTTTGTAGCATGATCAGGTAATACTGCTGTGATCCTGAACCTCGTCTTAATACATATAGAGGATCTGGACTTTAGGGTGTTGACTCCCCTTTATATCACGTGAAACGCTCCGATATTTAACGAGTCGCCCCCCCTTAACACTTCAAAAGCGGATACCAATCGAAACAAATCAGAGTAAATTTGACTATCGTATTAGACTAGCCCAGTCGTAATGATTCATTATGTAACTTTCCATCGATGAAATGTCTGCTCTTAAGTTTGTTATGCTGAAGCTAAAATAATGTGAATAAGAGCCATCCATTCCAGTCGGAGGAAACTACTATGCTTAAATACAAGCAAACATATGTTAGATTCATCTGCTCCTTGTTTGCTTATTTGTTGGGGGTTTATGGGTGATGTGAATAGACTCTAGAAAGTTGATGATTTTGATAGTATAACTAAGTACGGAGTAGTCATAGGAAGCCTCCGATGAGCACGCTTTTGTGATTTGCTAGCCGGGACAAGAGGACCTTACCCAAATTCATTCGCCATACCCATTGACTGGCGGTGCATTAATGGCAACAGCTGGGAGCTACGATGCCACAGTTCCTTGGCTTCCACAACTCATAGATCGATGCAGAAGAGCGAGACTCTAGCACAGACAGTCTCGCAACGACAAAGTATACGGTGTAGCTATCGTCTGAATACAAGCTCATAATTCTGGGCCAGAAGTTCCGGTCTCAGCAGTATTAACTGGATCTTATTGTTCCGCACTCTGAAATGCGTGCAAGATCCAAAATATATAGCTACACACAGCTGTTACACAAAGGACTTTCTTTTCAGCCTTATTTTTGAAATTGTTATGGATCGTATATTAAACTCCGGTTCTCCTATTAGGTACATATATATATCAGCCTTTGTTACTTATGCCCTGATTATATTAACGCCTGGTAGACATACAGTGCCGGATTATTTGTACATCAGTGGTTGCTCTTAGAGTTGAGATATCTGTTCAAAAGTTTGCGGATCAGTAAACTTGAATTCAAACTCGAAAATGGCGTGTTTTTAAACTTACCATTCCTTTTTTACAATAATTACAGTGATTATAGGCGCTCCAGCAGAGAGCTCACATGGTTCGACAGGTCTGCAATGTGAACATCCTCCTTAATTTTCAATCTTCGACACTGCACCTCACATATCCTCTCGGCTGCCCACCTTCTCCCTACAACAACGATTACTGGGTAGCCAACCAAGTCCGCATCTTTCATCTTCCAAGCAAACGGTTTGGCTCGATCATCCAATACAAGGTCGATAACAGCGCCTCCAGATGGGTGAGCTTGGGATATAGCGTCGTAAATAACTGAGGCACCTTCCTCTCCAGACTTATTTGCGATGACGACGGCCTCGAATGGGGCCATGACACGAGGCCAGTTAAGCCCATTCTTGTCAGCGAGGGTATCTGCTACCGCTCCAATTATTCGAGAGACCCCAATCCCATGACATCCCATCTGAACGACAACTTGACGACCAGAAGTTGAGTCTTTCACATTAGGCAAGAATTCAAAATCTGCCTCTTGATTCTTGATGATCTCGTGTGGAACTGTGACGTGCCCTTCTAGTGGTTTAGTGTATCGTGAGCCGAGATGAAAGGTATGGCCAAGCTCGATCGCTTTATTGATCTTTACATGGCCTTCCAAGCAGCGAGGACAACGGTCGCCACTTTTAACTCGCAGTAAGTTAAATGGCTTTCCGGTGACTGGATGTTGAACGACACAATTAAGCTGGTGGGTAAAGCCCAGCGTTGCTGAAGGGTCTTTTGACATGGTCATTACCCCCTCGGCAAATGTCTTGCGTAGAGATTCGGACATGCTGCCATCCAATATGTTCAGAATTTGCCGGGGCCGAGCAAGAGTTGCATTGTCTGCTGTATCTGACAGATTCGGAGCTGATTCCCACCACAGATCACCCGGATTCTCGATGGAGTTGTCGATCTCTGGAAACGCAGCTTTAATTGCATGAACATTGACCTCTCGTCCATCTGCAACATCTGAGGCTGGATTGGATAAAGATAACGCTGAAGGCATAAAAAAGACAGTAAACAGCGTGGATCTATCCTTAGATATACCTTTCCACGATGAAAGTTTTTTCAAGATCTCAGAGTCCGTGTTGCTGATGGTAGTAGAATTGTCCGCGAGTGGCAAGGGGGAATTTTCCGTAGACTCGGGTTCGGAGGATAACACTGGGCCATCCGCCAGCTCCTCGTTGGCCACATATTCGCAATTGGTACAACTTATAATATGATCTTCACCTTTCGCTGTTGGAAAATGAAACTCGTGACTTAGGTTGCCACCCATATCGCCAGAATCGGCCTCGGCCACCAAATAAGGAATTTTCAGCTCATCAAAAAGACGAGCATATGCCTCTCGAACTTGGTTATAGGTTGACAGAGCTTGCGGTGAACTATAATCAAAGGTATATAGATCTTTCATGATGAACTCTCGAGAACGTAAAAGCCCGTGTCTAGGTCTCAATTCGTCGCGGTATTTTCGTGCTGCGAGCAAGTTAGTCTTGATTCCAGGGACGAAACAATCACTCACAGATTTGGTACACGCGTACTGGAAGATCTTTGTAAGATGTCGTCGTACTTGTAACCAAAGTAGTTATTTCTTCTTCGTGTGTTGGAGAGAGGAGATAGCCGATGTCTTTCCTGTCTCGGAACCGGAAGAGCTGGATGGTTAGCAACATCTGCTATGTAGGTTGACTATTCATACCTCGGATCCGACAGAGTTTAAGCGGCCACTCCTTTCCCACAGTGACTCGGACGATATTGAAGAAAGATCCAACTTTGAAGCGTCTGGCATTCGTTAGTCGTTGCAGAGCAATTGAGCTGACATTCCTACTAAGCGTGGACATATGCTTGTCTATAAGAGCCTCCAGTTTCTTCTGAACACGCTGGCCCAAAGGAAGCATGTGAAATAATCCAGAATGTGCCTAAATAAAGACTCTTCAGTATGTGAATAGATAATTGAAGCTGGCGACTAACCTGCCGTAGGAAGCCGGCACGAATAAGCATTGAGTGAGAGTCTAGATTACAAGTCAATACAAATCTAGTGGAGAAGACAGACTCCATTTCTGACCTTCTTCTGCTGTCGGTGAAATGCCTCCAGACGGAGCCCATAATTTTGATAGTCGAGCCCATCCATCATCCTACAGGGAGTTAGAATGCCACGTGACTCAGAAAGGAAGTAGTGGTTGGGAGACATACATCAGTCCCTAAAGGTGACGAGTGTGCTTGTCGAGTTTGAAAACGTTCATATAGTCTTGGAATAGGCAATACTGCAGCATTTCCAAGACAACTTGTGCTCAATCGCGTTGCTTTAGCTCGAAGAGAGGCTGGAAAGGGGGTGATAGTTGTACACCTCATTGTGTGTTAGTTAAGAGGCCGTTTGAAGATGAAAAAGGCCGTGGCAATAGCTCAACATGACACTTGAGCTATTTCTATCATAACAAGAGTCAGTCTGATGCTGTATTAGGAACGTTGTATCTGCTGAAATATCCAAGCTTGTTATTGGGAGCCATCCGCATCTTACAGTAGGAGATATTTAAGGACCCACTTTTATCCGCTAAAAATTGTTATCTTATCGAGTTTTGGAAATTTTCCTCTCAATATTTCAACTCGAACACCAATATCGAACAGTATCGTGGGAATTCGCAAAGATGGCCAAGAAATCGAAAAGCGCAAAGAGCGCAAAGATGGCGGCAGGTTCAGATGGCGATAAACTTCCCAGCTTCGACGAGAATGCACTATTGGCCTTGACTACGAAGATTGACCAGGGGCTTGGAAATGGCGAGCCTCGAAAGGCAGCGGATGTACCAACTACGAAGCAGAAAAAAGGAAAATCCAGCAATGGAGTTGCAGAACCTAAGAAATCGGATGCACCAGAGGCTGCAAGAGGCACAAAACGAGACGCACACGGGAAGCCCAAAACTAATGGCAAAGCGAATGGCCAGAAGCAACAGTCGAGCAACACAAGTGGAGACAAACGTGCGGAGAGAGAAGCTTTGCTACAAGAAATACTAGCTTTGGATGGAACCAAGGAAGACTTAGATCTCGTGGCAGATGCCGATTCGGATGAAGAAGAAAACCAGAGCCCAGATGCTCCTCCAGACAAGGCATTGAAAAAGGAATTAGCAAAATTTGTTACTAGCCTTGGTATTGAGGGACAGGCCGGTGGGGACGTCGATGAGTCTGAGGAGGAAGTAGAGGATGACGGAGGTGAAGATAGCTGGGAGGAAGCATCAGAGTCCGAAGCATCTGAAAAACCTGCGCAGTCAAAGCCAGCTAAAGAGCAGGCTGCCCCGGCTCCTCTGAAAGCGCCCGAGTCAAAGGACCCAAATCGTCTGGTAAGTAGCCTTGCCAATTGAACGATTGGACTGACTGATATCAGCTAGATTTTTGAAGCAAGACCAGACTGGCATGCTGCCTCTTTGCCTCCTCTACCATCGGGAAAGATACTTTTCAATAGCACCGCAAAATACAGCAGTGCTATCACAAATTTAAAAGCTCACGCTATGTCTCTTCTCGAACAAGATAGCAGTCTCTACGCTTCAAAACATATGTCATCTACCTCATCTCATCGATTTTTGGCTACAATCATGTCATCCGGTACATTATCTGATAAAGTGTCTGCATTGACATTGGTCGTTCAAGAATCACCCGTCCATACCAAACAGTCTTTTGAAAGTCTGTTGACTTTGGCAAAGAAACGAAGTAGAGGACAGGCTGTTAATGCATTAGGTGCTTTAAAGGATTTGCTTGGAAATGGTGTCGTACTACCTGCGGATCGACGCCTTCGGTCATTTGCAAATCAGCCAGGGCTGCTCACTACATTGCAAGAGGATACTATCTTCAGTTGGAATTCTGCCCAAAGACTGCCAGGTGACATTACCAAGGCTCATTTGGTTTCTTGGGCCTATGAGGATTGGCTGAAGGACTCTTATTTTGACATGCTCAAGGTTTTGGAGGGATGGTGCAATGATGAAGTGGAATACGCTCGATCAAGAGCTGTATCTTACGTCTATGAACTCTTAAAAGAGAAGCCCGAACAAGAGGCAAACTTGCTTCGACTTTTGGTCAACAAACTTGGAGATCCTGAGAAGAAGATTTCATCCCGGACGTCTCATCTACTCCTTCAATTACAGACCTCGCATCCTCTAATGAAGCCAATCATTGTTCGGTCCATAGAGACTGAGTTGTTACTCCGTCCAGGGCAAAGCTCACATGCAAAATACTTCGCCATTAACACTCTGAACCAAACCATCTTGAGTGGGAAGGAGGAAGAGGTTGCTAAAAAGCTACTCGATATTTATTTCGAGCTCTTTGTGTCTCTGCTGAAGAAACCCGAGCCAAAACCTGTTCAAGCTGGCCCCGTGCTCAATAAAAAGGGTCAAGTTCAAGGTGGAGGAGCAGAGGGAGGGAAAAAGGCAAAAGCGAAGGCTGCCAAAGAAGAGGATGCTAAATTGACCAGCGAAGAGACCACCGAAAAGATGATCTCGGCTGTCCTGACGGGTGTGAATCGTGCTTTTCCCTTTTCGAAATCTGACGATCATAGGTAAGTTTACAATCAGTTTTTTATAGAGGGTTTGCTGATAATTTATAGTCTCGAGAAGCACATGGATACTCTGTTCAGGATTACACACTCTTCAAACTTCAACACCAGCATCCAGGCTCTGATGCTGATAGAGCAGCTTTCCACTTCAAAGCACCTCGCAACAGACAGGTTCTACAGAACTCTCTACGAATCACTACTTGACCCCCGCCTGGTCACATCCTCCAAGCACGCCTTATACCTCAATCTTCTATTCCGAGCTCTGAGATCCGACCTTAATATTAGGCGGGTAAAGGCATTTGCTAAAAGACTACTACAAATCGTCACCCTCCACCAACCCCCCTTCATCTGCGGTGTCATCTACCTCATAAAAGAACTCGAAACCACCTTCCCGGGCCTGAAATCCCTCCTCAACGACCCCGAAACAGCCGACGAAGACGAAGAAGAAACCTTCCGCGACGTCGTCTCAGACGATGAAGACGGCCCGATCCTACCAGCAAAACCATCCAAGCACGCTGATCTATACGATGGCCGGAAACGCGATCCCGAGCATAGCAATGCCGACAAGAGCTGTCTCTGGGAATCTATTCCCTTCCTCGTGCATTTCCATCCGTCCGTCTCACTCTTCGCTTCGCGCCTCGTAAATAACGAAACCCTGCCCCCGAAGCCAGATCTCACATCCCACACGCTCGCCGCTTTCCTCGACCGCTTCGTATACCGCAATGCGAAGACGGCGACTGCTGGGCCGCGCGGTAGTTCCATCATGCAGCCTCTGGCGGGCGGTGACAACAAGGGGATTTTGCTATCTAATAAGACCAATCAAGGTTCTGTTCAGCCTGTCAATAGCGAGTCATTTTGGCGGAAGAAGGCCGAGGATGTGGCTGTCGATGAAGTGTTCTTTCATAAATACTTCACGCAGGTCGGAAAGGGGAAGATGGATAGGAAGAAGAAGGCCAAGAAGAGTGATGGGGATGAGGGAGATGAGGAGAACGACGAGGATGAGATTTGGCAGGCGCTTGTGGAGAGTCGGCCTGAGGTGGAGGGCGGTAGTGATGGGGATTCGGAGATGTTGGATTTCGATGATGAGGATATGGATTCCATGTCCGAGTCTGGGGACGACGAGGTTGATATCGAGTCCAGCGGTGGTGAGGAAGTCGACATCGAGTCCGACGGCGACGAAAGCGGTGCTCCTGTCGTTGGCGATGCACAGGAAGGCTCTTCAGACGAGGACGGTGCGTTTGCAGAGGACCCCGAATCCGGCAGTGAGGCTGAAGAGGGCTCGGAGGACGAAGCGGAGCTCTTTGCAAAGGAGCTGCAGACTGCCAAGCCAGCAGAGGAGAGCAAGGAGAAAGACACGAGCAGGTCGCGGAAGCGCAAGATGAAGAGCTTGCCTACTTTTGCTTCGGTCGACGATTACGCCGAGATGCTGGATAATGACGAGGATGAGGATTTCGGTGTAGAATAGATGGTTTTCTCACATTTGTCAGGTGGAGGGGAAAGTAAAGTAAAGTAAAAGTTGTTTCATACCCAACCAATCAATTAGTTGCTTCTGGATCCAGAAATCCAATTCATCTATCGTGAGTGAGATCCTCCTCCCCCTTGAACGCCCATTCATTCATTCGTTCCATTGAACTACCTACCGTATCATAACAGTCCATGCATCATCAAATATCAAACCACACAATCGGATCGTTCTGATGAAAGATAGCCTTGAACACTTTATCTCCATCCGGCCGCTCTTCCTGATCCATCCTAATAGAGTGAAGGGTAGCCGTATCTGCATCGCCTGGGGCGAAAGCCCGGAACATGAAGTATGCGTCACTTGGCCTATACGTATAAATTAAACTGAGAAAGAAAAGGGGGGAGATGTAGGTTCTTACTTCTCCGGGAACGAATGCGTGGGGTCTGAATCTGGGATTAGGACTTTGCCGAAGATGTGTTTCCCGTATGCTGCAGTAGCGACACGGACTTCCTTCAAGTCATCGGCTGTATATCATTCATCTCATATCAGCATACCATACCAAACATGAATATCACAAAAAGGCAGAAATCTGTGCAGCTTACAGGAGAAATTCGTGAGTTGCTGATCGCTTAGATTAGCTACGGCTTGGAAATATTGGGGTTCGTGTTCTGTAATTAAGTTTTAGTTGGTAGGTAGGGAGAGGGGTTTGGTTAGAGGGGCTAGATATGAGCGGGTGGGCCCGGGGAGCGTACTGTTGGTTTCGTGACGCTTGTGTTGGAGTGCTTTCTTGAGGTCTACGTGGATCTTGTTGAAGAGTTCGATGGACTCGGCCCTGCGGTCGTTAGTCGTGGGTTTATGAATAGAGAGAGGGCGGTTTGAATTGGATCATGGATGGGGTTGGATTTACTTTGGGGGGTGGGATGGGCCTAGATCTACGGTTTCGGCGGTTGCCATGGTTGATTGTGAGGTGGGGTGAGGTGAAGGTTTTGGTGGTGGTGTTTATGTTTCGAATTGTGGTGTTAGGTATTGAGTATATTTGGTTGTCAATGGGTCAGGCACATCATGGGCACAGCAAGGCTTTATATATTCTATGTGAAGGCATGACTAGCGCCACAGCGTGTTACTACGGTAGAGCGGGGTGTACAGTAGGCTAGTCCATGCGTTGGAACACGTGGATGCACCCTTTTCTTTCAGCCACAGGCTCGATTGAGTTCTTTCCCTGATCTATCTTGGGCCGTTTAACCGCTGTTTAGATGGTCATGAGTTAGGATGTTCGAATAGGAACGAACTGGGTGGAATGAATTGTAAAGTCTCATATGAAATGGTGGGCTGATTCTACTATTTGCTTTGTCAGCGGACCACAGCTAAGGTACCACGAACTCAATTGGCAGGCTGCTCTAGAGCTTCCACATGAGGTTTACGGAGGTACTAGTTGTTTCTGAGATGTGATGATACTTGTAGGTTCTTTGGATTCATTCGTCTACTTGTACCACCCCACTGTATGTAAGTGGGACAAGGGTCCAAGTATGATGTCGCGACAAACGATATTGTCGGCTTAAGCACAATTCGATGATTTTCTTTCAGATGGCAAGAACCACAGAGTTTTGTAACAAAAGAAATCCGAGCCAAGTCTGAAAATGTAATATCTGCGAGGATATTTTAGTCACGTGATTTGAACAGGGGCTCGCCTGATAAGACTGATAAGATTACGCCAACGGGACGGTGCTGATCTTGACCGAGGCCGAGGCAAAATACTTGGTCGTCAGCTACAGACCCACCCGCAAGAGCAATTGGTAATATTAGATGTCCCTTGTTCCACCACCATCTACGGCATTGGATTTAGACAGTCCTTCTGATGCCCTTGGCCAGCCGATTTCTACGGCCTAGTGCCATTGGCTTCTCAGGAGTCGGTCCGCGGCTCTTAACTAGAAGAGTTCAACGAAAACTGCCACCTTCACTCTTTCAAACTTTCAGCACACGAGCACGTCTTTTCCAATCCGTAGAAGGTATGTTCACCTATGCAATGGGATTGCCAACACTGACAAAATACTAGCGACTATTCAAACAGAAGCACCGAAGCCGAAATCCTTCCTCGGACGCGCCCTTGGCGTAGTAGCACTTGCTTTCTTCTTCACCACAACAGGCTTTCTGATGGCAGCAGTCCCAGCATTCAAAGCCGCAGATGGCTTCATAAACCCCCCAACGGACGAGGAGACCCTCCTCCTATACACGCCCGAAGACGACGTGGCGCGAGAAATCGAGGAGTTCATCAAGTACCACCCCGTTTCCGTTGAGCTGCGCTCGAACCCGCAATTCTCCGAATCAAGACCACACTTGAAGATCCCAGAGTCATACCGGAGTCATAATCTGACTGGCGGGACTCTTCACGGAACTGATAAAGTTGTAGTCCCGCCGTACATTTGGGCCGAGGCGGGCGGGAAGAGCCTTGTCTCGATTTCATATCTAGGAGCGGCTCTTTGTGGACACCCGGGAATCATACACGGTGGCATGCTTGCTACGCTTCTGGATGAGGGATTGGCTAGGTGCTGTTTTGGAGCTCTGCCGAATAAGATTGCGATGACTGCGAATCTGAACATCAATTACAAAGCGCCTACGAAAGCTGGGCAATATGTTGTTCTGAGGGCCAAGACTACGAAGGTTGAGGGACGGAAAGCATGGGTTGAGGGTCATATTGAAACTTTGGTCGCTCCGGGAGAAAAGCCGGTGATTCTTGCCGAGGCTTCTGGTCTTTTCATTGAGCCGAGACAAGCTTCTGTGAGTATTCTAATCCTAATATACAGGTCACGCTAATATTTTTTTATAGACAATGGCACGAGTATACCCAGTTCAATGAGCAGGTCAAGGGAAGACTTTTGCTATTTGGAACTGAGGAGGCGCGTAATAGAGAATCGGTCAAAGACTTTTGACAATCTAATTTATAGATGGCGCTGAGTATACGCAAGCATTATTAAACAAGACATACATCTTCGTTAAACATGTAGAGTGGAAGCCCAGGATACATATGTATTCAGGAGCCTTCTTTGTTATATAAGAGATAAAAAATAGCTTCACTTGAACTCAACTGCACTCTGGAATACTCTAACTTCTCATTCTTATTACAGGCCGCTAGAAAACACCTACCTCAGCATTTCATCTGTGTTCCTAAATACCTAAAGGTAAAGTAAATACACAAACCAAACCACGTGACCTGTTCCTGCAAGTGGGGGTCTGGACCCTGACGCAATCCGTTGACGCGGGACGAATTTTCAGCACCTCACTTACTCGCGACTTCAACCCCACGTAGCCTTTCCCGTTCATTCACTCAATTAACCCATAAAACCCTCTTCTTCCTCTCCCTCTTCCTCATTCCTCTCTTCCCCATCTCCCAATCCAAAATCCCACTTCCACCCCTAATCCATCCCCGCACTCGCAAACAAAATGGCAACGTAAACAACCCCTCCATCCATACCCCACCTCCCCCAATCAACCCCCCCTCCCAACCACAAATAACTAACACCCAGCCTCCACCCTCACAGCAACATAACATGGCACCCGTCCCTCACACGCACCGAGCGCAGCACCCTGCGCTCCCAAACCGGGCTAACGCTCTGGTTCACCGGCCTCAGCGCCTCGGGAAAATCCACCATCGCCACGGCTCTCGAGCAGCACCTGTTACATCTGGGCCTCAGCGCGTATCGGCTCGATGGCGATAATGTGCGTTTTGGGCTGAATCGGGATCTGGGGTTTAGTGAGAAGGATCGGAATGAGAATATTAGGCGGATTGGTGAGGTATGTTTGTTTCTTCGTCGTTTCTTTCGTTTTCTTGCGTTGGAATCGAGTTGGGGGGGGGCGGGGTGAATGGATGGAGGGTTGGAGGGATTGGAGAGATTGGATTAAAGGTGAAGGGGAAAGGACGGAGGGAATGGAGGCTGATATGGTGTACTGCAGGTAGCGAAGCTCTTTGCAGACGCATCGACGATTGCGCTTACGTCTTTCATCTCGCCGTATATATCAGACCGGAAGATCGCGCGGGATTTACACGCAGATGTAGGAACGAGCAATGGTTCGTCCTCTCCCTTGCCCTTCACCCTCCATCTGCAACTCTCCTTTCTGACAAAATTACATATAGATGAACCTATACCTTTCATCGAAGTATTTGTCGACATCCCAGTTGAAGTAGCCGAGAAGAGAGATCCAAAGGGCTTGTATAAGAAAGCGAGAGCAGGCGAGATCCCCAACTTCACGGGTATCAGTGCGCCGTATGAGGCGCCTGTGAATGCCGAGATCACGGTGCATACGGATAAGAGTTCGGTGGAGGAGTGCGTGCAGCAGATTATGAAGTACCTGGTTGAGAAGAAGCTGCTTCCAGAAAGCATCAAGGCGTGATAGAAAAATATGAAATGAATGAGAATTCCATGACAATGGGGTATGATTTTTGATCGTAAAAGTGGATGGAATGAATACTCATAACTTGTGGTTTCATACAATGCTTGCTGCCACCAATGCGCCAACCGGGGGATTTGTTCCGTCCATGATACCTATATAATCTCAAAGTCGTAATACACATAAGCTGTGTACTCACTACCTTCACCACCGCCTACACCTGCTGCCGCCATTTCGGAGGATAGGGCCGAGTCATCCTTTGTTACTCGTCCCTTGTTATCTCGTCCAAATGCGTTTCCTCCTAGGTATGAATAGCTTGAATCGAGGGCCGTCTTTGCTTTCTTCACCAGCTTTGGGGTTGTCTGTTAAAGTGTTAGTACAATACCATTCTTTCAATTGGAAGCCAGCATACCTTGATCAAACCGCATACGAAATCCAGAGGCAAACCATACCGCAAGACTGTCTCCACGAATACTCGCAGAGTCAAGACGTGGATCCATATCATGACAGCTTCACTCCATCCCGTACGTCCCAGTCTCAACGCCTCACCCCATATTTTCCTCTCATCCCTACCAACTCTCTCCACCTCCTTCCGTTCTTCTTCTTTCCCGCCCTCGACATACTTGTAATCCCTAGGCGTCCACTTCATCTCTCTGCACTTATGCTGAAACTCCGCGCTGTATTTCTTGAACGTCGTAGCTGCATAGAGCGTGAACTCGTCATCGTGTGCTACCTCCTTTGCTGATCGAGGGACAACCATAGGTGATATTGTTTCGTAACTCTTAATAAAGTCTTTTTTGAAATTCGAGGGAACTACGATTAGGTGGGTTTCGAGGTATTCAGAGTCTTGGACCAGGATTTTGGGATCGACAACGGGTGTAAGGGATTTGGTGGCGAGGTTTCCTCTGTTATTTTGTTAGCTAAATACTAACGCTACCATCATCGATACTCACGTTTGTTTTCGTTGCAGTGTGGTAAGGTTCGTCTTAACTCCATTATACTGGGTAAGTTTTGATTTGACATCGTTGTCAATGCTGGCAAGTTCCTGGAGCAAGTTTAGCCAACTGCTATTTCCCTAGAAGTAGAATTGTTACCTTCTGCAAAGAGTCGATAAGCTCTGCCAGTGGTTTATCGGCACGGTACTTGACTTTGTTCCAGTTGAAAGTCCGCAGGTATTGATCAGCCGGCTCTGTAGGATTCGTCAACCGCTGCCCGCAATATTCAAAGCTTCCAAGAACCCACTATCATTGACCGTCTTTTGCTGCGAGATCTTCTCCTCATCACCCTCTAGCAGGGACCGCAGAGAATCTCCCACCTTAGCTACCACAACCTGGCAAGCACTCTCCAGCTTCGCCAGGTCGTCCGCCTGCTGCACTAAAGCATCGAGCGTTCCGATCTTGAATTCGGGGATCTTGAATGGAATTGTGGCGCCATTATCCGCGATAGTCGATTTCAGAGCTCCCAGAGCTTCTTCTTTATCGTTGGTGGGAGAGATAGAGGTGGGGAGAGAAACCAGGGCGTATTTCGTAGGACCCGACATGCTTGCTTATTTTGGATCGCCTTGGCTTGCTAGGGCAATTGGAAATGGGCAGCACCCAAGCTGGCACCTTTAGTTGTAGTTATTGCTGTTCCTGGAGAATGGGCGAGGAAGATGTAGGTGAGGAGCTCAAGCTCCAAGCTCGATTGAGAAGGCCCGCCACGTGCACAACAAGCTAAGCCGAAATGGGGCCGCTTCAGACGACAAACTTCACCTCTGATCAAACTTCACTTTGTGAGAGCACATGAAGCTATTATGACTCACTAGTATTGTGGTGTTCCTATTGTTCTGACTTGTTATTGTATTGAAATTGTCACCTCAGTGTTCCATACTACGCTTTTAGGTTTTAATGTCCTGTTCTAGGAACAACTCCAATGCTCCTATATCTTCAATGGTTATGTATAGCCCTTGTATCTGGTTTGGTTTGGTATATATTACTCACTGGCGAATATACAAATCCAAATTATGGCTCTTTCGTTCTATAATCGTTCCCTATTTTATGCTAGCCGTCAATCATCCGTATTTTCTTAGGAAACTCGACTTCTTGCCAGTTTCCTTTGGGAATACGAAAGCTTTGACTTTACCGGTATTGTGTATTTTTCGAAGTTGCTTTTCCCTACAAGTAACTCGGGTTGACTGATTTTCTTGATTTTTGGTTTGCACTCCGTTTTGAGGTTAATCGGGGGGCAAACAGTAGCATTGATCAAGTACAATTATGCTTCTGGATGTCCCAGTCCGAGTGAGTGATTAAGTGAGTACGCTGTTTCCGTCTTACCAACCCAAGTTGACTCAACGCTCACTGCTCCAACACTTCCTTTGGGCATATCTTGACTTTTCCTAACTAATTGTCTAATTGTCATATCTTGATAACTGGTCGAACTTACTTGCAGTTTTCAAGAAGGCCGTTGAATATCGATGAATCCTTGCTCCATATTCCAAATTATCTAGAAGACAAGCTCTATTACCAAGTCACTCTCCACTCATCGCTCAACTTATATTCTCAGGCGGTATATTCTTCATCTTTGTCCTTCTCGCTCTCAAATCCCTTTTGTCATTTCTAACTTAGTCCATCGTCTTCATCTATGTTACCGGATAACTCTATTCACTCAAAGGGATATCTTTCAAAGTATCCTTCGAGCTCGACTTCCCCTCAAGTTCACGGCTTCGTCCTATCAACTATCCGCATTGGGAGATATCAAAGCGGTGTTGCTCCGCCAAAGCCGTCTCTATTCACATGGCGCCTCATTTTTCTTCCACTACAACCTCCACGATTCTCTTCTTCCAATAACACTTTGCTTTCTTGCACTTCGACCGCTGCGCCGTGAACTCTTGGTGGGTCATTCTTTTGCGAGACTTGGTAAAGTCTACGATCTTTTCAACAAGTCTTTCGCTTTGCGCCAAATGCGATCTTTATTCTGACAACCTCATCTTTGCTCCCTTCAAAGCAAACCCTCGCTTTTCGCCGCAGCTCACCGATCTTTTACCACTGGTTTCGATCTTGAGCTGGTTTGCTGCATGGATCCTATCACGCGTCTACGCCGACCCATTCACTGTTGCTAGGTAGTCCCAATTCACAAACACCCTGACTGTCCTCGATCTCGAATCCTCGACACTGCGTCACGCTCTACTTCTTGGAATTAAATGTCTTCCCCCCAACAGCTGACCATTTAGCTCCTCGAGAACATACAACAGAAAAGAGACTCCGCCGACTTGTACTGTACCCGCCATGCCGTCAAGGAACCCCAAACGTCGCAATGCGACCTCAAACCCAACCTCAAACTCAAACCCAAACCCACGCCGTAAATCCAGTTGGTTCAGTCTGTCATCCCCCAGCTCGCTTTTCCCCACCAAGACCCTCAACAAACTCGTCATTCTTTGCGCCGGAAGAGATGCGAAGTATCTCTTCATCCGCAAGCAAACCATGGCCATATGGTGCCGTCAAAAGACAATTACGACGAACAACCCAGAGGAATGGGCCGCCGTTGTGGGTGGATCTGTTACTGGTGAAAGAGAAGCTGTTCGCAGCAACGTCAAGCCTTGGGAGGAGCCCAATTTCGGGATAACCTTTCGGTACCGAGAATCCCCTGAGACAACGACTTCGTCTGCGCATAGCAGTTACTATGAATCTGATGCAACTCTCACTAGCTGTGGAACTAATAGCACTATCGGTAGCACTCTTGTATCTTTTCCTTCACTGGACGAGCAAACTCCAGGAAATCATGCTCCGACTCAAGCTAAAAAGGAAGTTCACGATCCTAAAGAACCACTTCATCAGAGCACCAATCAGCATGCGGATGAGGATGACACCCTACGAAAGAGTGACTCTGGAGTTTGCGTCTCCTCAACGCCAGAATATCACACTTTGGATGCCTTCAAGCCAACACGAACCCCTCTCGCGCCTGGTGAGGTCCCCTTTGTCCCTGAACCTAGCTTCTCAGAAGATTGGAATCTCCCAACGGAAAGAATTATCACCAATCGACCGAATGATCCAGCGATGCAGTTATGGCTCAGAGAGAACGGGATTAAAGCCATACTCCGTCCAGATTTATTGACCCTCCCCAGGACAACACCCGGTAGCTCCACTAAAGAAGCAATGGAGGCATTCATTTCGCGCTCGTCCTGCAAGATTGCTTCACAATTCCTTAGTCCAACTACGAAGCAACAGGGGTTCACCCGAATGCCAGAGCAGTCTCAAGCTCAAGCCCAGTCAAAGAGTAGGATCTCATTCACCAGCTCCTAGAACTTCACTGACAATACACAGTCCCCCAACCTCAGCAGAGGAAGAATAGTCAAGCTAAATCTGCATCGCACAGAAGGAACTCCAGCGACAAGAATAAGATCAATAGTAAGTGCCGCCTCCCCTTAAAAGAGGGACTCGCTAACCGTACCTTGCGCCACACAGCAGCCGCAAAGCAAGAAGCCATGGCTCGTCGTGCCAACGAAGCGTATGAAGCTAAACAGAACGCCGCTAGGAAGAGGGCACCCCCTGCCATGGTACGCACATCTAAACGCCGAGCTCCGAATCCCGCAGCTGCTATTCCCGTCAGCATCCTCAAACCATCTCCGAAGCGAAGTGCTCAGTCTGCTAATGCTGCTACTATTGCTGAGGGCTGTGATGATTGGGATCCCAACTGGATCGTCGAGTCTGCTCGTTAAATGAATGAAGGGGAGGTGGGGTGGTATGATATGATCTTGGCTATGCGAGCGCAATCACGAGGATGAATGATGAATGATGAATGATGGATGTAGGATATCGTTTTGTATGATAAATATTGGGGCATGAATTTTGGAGCGCTCGGGTCATGGCGTCGCGTCTCGGGATGAGATGCTGAAGTAGATGACCTTAATGTAATATGTTCGCTTCTGTTCTTGCGTTCATTTGTGATGACTTATAATCCCTCATAAATCGTGCATCAAAAGCCCTCTCTACATGCACGTCAATTACAGTAGTCGCAAGCTTCTCGTAGGAAGTAAAGTGTTCCACCTGGTCGGAGCTCTAGTAAGCTGAACCGAGAAGTCTTCTAGTCCCAGGACCATCTACGGAGGTGGAATATACTGGTGGCATTAGCCTAGACAACGAGATACCGTGTCCCGATTTCAACCTACAAGGTCTTGATCACTTACAGGAGCGATATATGTAACGTTTTCTCATTTTGCTTCGGCCTAGGGGTCTTTGCTACCACCAATAGCTACCTTACATCTAGGAATAGGAGGGTAGGTAGTAGGGATTATGCCAGTATATATCTTTGACCCAGGAACCAGTACTTGTGTCTAAATCACAAACATTGACAACCACCAAGTACATCCAGGCGCTCTCCACGAATCCACACCGGGACGCTCCCAATGCTTGAATCCTGAACACTTATTTCACATACTTTTGAGCCCCTGCGACTCTTCTAGCTTTCTCTTTGTTGATGCCCTGTTCAGGTTGCTAAGTATTAAATTGCATTGAAGGTCATATTGGAGAGAAATCAGGCCATCGCTACACCGCTACAGTCGAGGCGATATCCCGGGTTGAAGGCCTAAATCGGGACTCGGAAAGACTGCAATACACTTGTTTCGCGAAATGGAGCTGATGAAGCCGTACGATGAGAAAACAATTCCCTTTTTCAGAGAGGCAAATGGTATCCATGTCCATCTGGGTACTGCTGAATTTGGGAAAGGGAGTTTGAAAAATTTGTTGCATTTCCTGTGAACAAACAAATAAATAAACACGGACAAACGATCAGTTCAAAAGGACTCAATGGCTTCAAGATGAAGAGTTCCTCAAATGCTGCTCTGTTTTGAGTCTAGGGTTCGACCTATTTTGACCTAAGATCTTATGCTCGATCGAAGTTTGAAGATTTTTAAACGACTTGCTATTCTTATTTAGAATTGATGAACTTTCGGTACAAATTACAGACAGAAAAGCAGGTAAAAATAAACTACAGCGGGTGAGATCTCCTTGCCTTTGCTTTGCTACTATTGCCCGAGAGGTTTCGGTCGACGTCAACATATCCATTAAAGCACAAGGACACGAGATAGATAGCGTAAGCCAGTTCTACGGAGAAGGCCTTTGCTCAAAGGTCGTGCTCAAAAGGCTATTTTGGGAGGTATTTCAGAGACAGCCGCCGCCTCGTGTAACAAGCTCTTCCCCAAAATCAAAGTCTCGTGATACGCTCGCTCTTCGCCGAACTTGTTAGAATAAATTAATTCTCAAAGCAGTAGGTACAACCTAGCTCTTACGAATGACTTGTACATCGTGAGGTTTCTTGCCACTGGGAAGACACCATGATGCTATCAAATCACACCACTCCTGCCAACCATTTCCTAATGCGGGATGTTCAAGCGGAGCGACGTGCAACAAAGACGCTTTGGAAACCGAAAGTTGCCTCAAGAGTCCCCTTTCCATTATCATAACGAGATGCAAACTTCAAGCTTAGGTACAGTAAATGGAAGATCGAAAGATGTGTAGATACTTTCTAACCATCGTACGAGAAATAAAAAGTATGTGCTGATTTCAGACTTTGTGAACCCATTTTCCCGATTACATTAGGCGCAGTCAGAATTCGCGATGAAATTGAACCCAGATTCAAATAACTTCTCCTTCATTAAGCATTAATAATATGTACTACTCGGGTATCGTCCTCCTATCCATCCTATGTTCAAGCCTTCAGTCGCTCTCCTGCAATATCGTCTTGCGCGTCCTTCAGTAGAAAGCTAGATGAGCATTAGCCTAGCACATTCAACCGATCCTTTGATGCACTTACTTGTACCAAATCATTGTAGGACCAACAGTTCCCAAATGCCACAGGCTGTGTGCATCAAGGCAACCCCATACCGGCGGGAAGTCAAACAGCTCCAAGCTCATCGCCAGTATAATCCACGCAACCGCCAGACCGGGCCATGTAGCCCAAAGACGTCCCGAATTTCTGTATTTCTTGAAACTGAACCAGCTCCACAGTGAGTTCTGCAGGACCCCTAGTATCACGTTTGCTGCCATATTGTACGTATAATCCCAATTGAACAATTTCAAATACGCAACGTGCGCCACGTACATCGACAGGCAGAGAACCGTCCAGAATCGCCGGACTGATTTTGTCTTCTTTCCACCTTGGTCCATTCGAAATATTCGGATCGGGGTGTAGTAGAAGCCGTACAGTACGCTTGCCCCAGCAGCAAAATAGTCCAGCTGTTCTGTAAACTCGAAATCTCGCATGTGAAAAAGCATGCTAAATATCCAGCTGACCATTCCAAAGTACGCGAAAAGAACATAGTACTTGCGCAATGGATACGACGCAGGTATGTTGGATGTGACTTTAGAGAGACCATTTTGATGCGCGAGGAAGTTAAGGAGGGAGAAGAAGACCGAGAATGGTTCTTGCATTCCTAGGAAACGGTAGAAGGGCCATTTCCCGTGAAATTGAGTTATCTCTTCATCTGCTGCGACGCGTCGATCGGTGATGATGTGTTGGCAGGCATAATCGCATTCGGCGGGGCAGTCCCATAGGAGGAGTCGGTGGAGGGGAGCTGAAGGGCGTTAGAAATGCTATGTATTCAGAGTTTTTGACTTACGGATTGTTGTAACTGCGCGGCTGCCACAGTTCTCGCGTTTGCAGACCTGAAATCTGATTAGAGGGTTTTGTGATATGCCAGGATGGATTCCGTACCTCAACACATTCTTGAAATTCAGGTAGCTGGTCTCCATAAGAGGCATACACTTGAGATGTAAAGCCCAAAAAGAGAAGCCATAAGGGCCGAGCAACCTGTTGTCTTAAAATCATCGCGGGATGATGTTGTAAGGTTTCCGGAGACTTCGGCAAGGAAGGGCAGTTCACGTGAGCTCGCTTATTTAAATCCACTCGCTTATTCCCTAGCGCCAGAAATTATTATCCTGAGCCTTGAGGTATCCATATCCAAAACTCCACGGCAGTGGTGAAAGGGACATCCCCAACGCAAAAGAAAAGCTTCACAACCACAACGAACTGCAAAAGAATGGTAATGGATTGGCAAAAAGGTAAATCTTGGAGCAGCGGCGGATCTGTCACAAGTTAGCAAACTAACTGGTAATTGTTTCGAATGTTATAACATACCGAACGCCGGACTTCATCGAAGCTTCTTATTGTATTGCTACAATGTCATGCAAACGAGGCACTCTACCACTGAGTTACAGCCCCATTGAGTGGTATTTTTGATTGAAAGCCAGCTATTTTAATATATACGGGTATGAGAGATCAGCTAGGCACTAGCCGTTTCCAGAGGATCCTTGCCTTGTTTCGCATATCACACCGAGAAAACTACCTCCGTACTGGTCAGTATGCTTGACTAAAGGCTATTAGGACTCGTAAAACTATTATTTAGAAGTGTACTTAAAAGTAAGCTTGGGCTTGTTTCTACTCATGCTAGATTTTTAATTCATGCAGTTTTCAAATGCACTACAAGTAGGGAAAATCCCAGACCATAGACTCAAAACTTCATTTTTACCATTCGTACCATTCGTTCATCCCAATTATATAATAAAGTATCTAGCAAACGCCATGAACAATAGTAATTGGTTCTGGTAGGGTATTGCAAATTCTGCAAATTCTTGCCTTTGAGGTTTTCTGTGTAGTCCTAAAGCGGGGCAGTCGGAACATTCCGCCAAATCCCAGCTAATTTCTTCGAGCCAAATCCATCACCATCTCGTGGACATATTCTAGTACTCTCGAGCAATATCTCGCACGCTATAGTTCTGGTATCAAGACAGTGACTTGGGTACCTTAACAAGCTACTGTTTGAAGAACGATCGACGGCCAAAACAGAAATGCAAGACACGTGCCGCGCCATATAGTCCTCAACTGGGTCTACTACAATTAGGAAGCCGGTAGGAAAATCAGAGACAGACAAAAGAACTACAATCATCAAGACATGCAGTCAGTGAAACATGTGTCCGGCAAATGTATACTTCCTGCCAGCACTAAACAGTACAGGAGACTGACGCCAAACCAGTAGATGAAGAAACGTTGTGTGGCAACCTAGATGCCTAAAACCTGCTGAACTGAAAGATAACAAGAAAGAAGGTGAAAATTACGAAGGCAAAGGATAAAAGACATGGAAAGGACGACTAGTCTGACAAAAATTGTTTAGACGCGCTCTCGATGAGACATACTTGGCATATAGCAGTACGAGCGAGCGTCGAGCTTGAGGAAGAGTTCACGAATATGACAGGCAGGCCCGATTCAGTCTGAATCGCAAAGCCCGAAGACTGAAAATTATGTCTATGGTGAACCTTTTATGAAACTTACAAACCCCAAAGGGAAAGGGGAGGTTTGGGGGCAGACGCCCAACAACCAGTTCACTCAAATTTCGCTGTCTTCGGTTTTCTTCTCCTCTCCTTGGGGGCTTTTTGTGAACAGGGCTAAGATCAAAAGATGTATTCGGACCTGGTGGTCATTAGCAAGCATCAAGTCAGAAGATAGTAGAGGTCCAAAATTCATACGCAGAACAGGAAATACTCGAAATTCAGGGGCCTCTTCACGACATGCAGCCGACCTTATTCGTAAGACTCGTTTTCCAAGGGGAGATCCAAAAACTTCAGTGATACAATTCCACAACTCCTACGGTGTTTTATGGCCTTCTTCATCGGAGGTGTGAGTAGGAAAAGCGGTGCCAATTTATAATGTGCCAGACGGAGTGGAACATTAAACGTCGTTGGCGCAGTGCGTATTCTGGACGACACCGGACTGCCCACCCATTCACACAGGTTTGCGATATCTACCTTGGTCTATTTTACCGCAGGAAGAAGTATCTGCGATGCCACGGGCAGTTGGGAGGCAGCCGGCGCAGCACGTTCGGGGTCTATTTGAAGACCCTGAAGAAGAAATGTTAAGAGTTCACTAGCGTCGTCTTGTCCGGTTGCTAAAGGAGTGTAAGTGGACGAAGATAACGTGAACAGTGCATATAAACTTACTTGAGAAAAGCACTTGTTCTCAGTAAGAGACATCCTAGATAGACTTGCAGAAGTCTGGTCGGTATGCCATGTCCTATAGCTGGCCCTTCCATCAAGCGTAACATGCCAGCAATGGCGGCAACAACTTGGCAAGCGAAACAGATTCAAAGAGAGCAGACAACAGAAGGTTGTTCTCCTAGGTACCTATGGCACCATTGGTCTCTCATGGCAGCCTCGGATGAGCGACTAGTTGTTCAGCTTTATGAGGAGCATGAAGCTCTTCGAGAGAGTTTAAATAAACAACGCCTAATAGCAGAAAACCTGGAGATTACAGAGAAGCACATAGCAGCAGACGCCGAGCATGCTGGAGAATATATTGTGCACCGATCCGAAGTGAATCTCGAAAGATACATTTTGGACAAGCCCCCATACCCGTTACCTGCAAGAAAGGCCGTACTGCATAGTTACAAAGTGAATGTGACCTCACGGGCGAGCTCATATTCAATTACAAGAGAAGGCAACGTGTCACCTCCTTCACCTCCTTTACCCAACACCACACCACCTCATGTCCCAACTCTAGACATTGCAGGAACTCCCGCAGTAGCCACATCATCATCATCATCTTCCCAAGATCCACAGACATACCACACCCATCAGAGCCCTCATTACCTACATCACAAGTCGACACTGATAGTTTACCACTATCGCTTTCAGTTCCTTCGCTAATACCGCATTCTGGAACTTCAGAGCCTTGCTCATCACCCGTCCTCGACTACCATGGGTAAGCATGAAACTTGAATGGCAAACACTTCCTTGATCACTAACAGTCATATGTAGCATCTATCGCCCCAAACGAGACAGGCCCCAGCGATAGGAAGCAAGAGATCCAAGCTATCCTGAAGGCCACGGCAGAGGAGAAGAAGGCGTTAAAAAAGGAGATTGCAATCGATTACGAGGTGATTGCGGTCAAACAGGATGAGATTGCGATCAAAAGGAAGCAGGTGACTGCGCTTGATGAAAAGACCGAGGAGTTGACATCGGACCTGAACAAAAGAACGCTTTCCAGTGAGTTTGAGGTCAAAGATATCCTTCCAACCACCACAAATAATTCTGATATGCTATCTGGAGATGCACCTCATAGTGTTTCAACTCCATCTTCTCAACTCCCCGAAGGCCAGAAGCCATAGCCCTCGCCGTTCCCATCTTTGGAAGATACTACTTCGAAGTCCAAACAAGCTAGCAAGGAGCCTGAGACGAAGCTCCCCCAAAAGACACGCGCACTCGAGGAACAGAATGGCATGGATACCGGATCAGAAAACCCTTTCACATACAACCAAGTTAAGGAGTCTTTGACACCTCCGGGCCTACCGACACCTCTAGGCTTCCAAAATCCCGTGTCGCAGCAAACACCAGATCAGATTCTAACTCCAAATGAGCGAAGAGATGCCTTTATTTCGAGGGGTGAGATCCTTGAAAGGATTCACAGTGTTGGAAAGAAGAGAAAGAGACTAAGGCTCCTTTAGTTGGAGACTCTATGTAGATAAAACATATTTCAAGGTATGCCCAGCTACTTATACATTATAAGGGCTTATGCTAATCCTCTATAGCCATTCAATATTTACCACGTTATTCGCAGGGGAAGAGGGTTGTTTTTTGCAGACTTAGATCGAGGGCTGGGCTTGGCATACGGATTTCTATTTCAAAGGCCAACTTGCGTGAAGAAGATATTTGGAGGGATGGGTTATCGCGAAAGTCTCTACGATGGCCAGAAAGCTGATTGGGGTGGGCGACTGGCGTGAAGTGGCTAATCGTATGCTTCGTAATTAGTGCACACATACGCTTCTCTTGGGGATTCATGGTAGTTTTATTTCTAAAATCTTAAAGTCTACACTTTGGTTTTCAGTTATATGATAAAACTCCTTCAGGGGGGTGTCACGTGTACCACCTCCTCGTAAGGCTTGGCACCAATACGGTAGGGCCTTCGCTCTTAGTACCACGCTAGTATATCCTGCATATAAGCTCTGCAAGGTACTTCACATGTAGAATTGTGTTGGAGCCACAGCCCGCCACGAGTATAAAAATCGCCTGCCACATCTTAATTCAGCCGTACCTTCAACCCAAAACGCAGACTTTCACAACCGCACCATTGGAACAAGCAAATACAAGAACATTACATCATTGCCTTGCTCCAACCCTTGCCCCACGCTTACACATAAGTATACTCAGCTTCGTAGCCCGGCACATAACCATGAGGACATGCCACAGCCGGCAAATAGCTATCCACCGTGATACCCTGCATTGCAAAGTAATGCTGCCTAATCGTACTTATCTGCGTATTGTTTTGTTCCGTGTTCTTCGGGTTTCCATACTGCAGTGTGAGGCCATCCGAATGATCAACGTATTTCTGTTCAGCTGTCATCAGCCCTGCCTTGCGAGATCGCATTCCACAGAAATCAAATGCATCAAAAAAATGAGGAGCACTTACTGAGCAATCAGGAACATCATGCCCAAACAGACTCCAAAATAAACTGCCTGCAACTACTGGATTACTTGCATTCTGCTTTGCCAGAATGGTATCGTAGAAGCTAGCCAAGGAGTCACCACTGTTACCTCTCCAGTCGATCTCGCCAGCTAGGTATACGCGATCCGCTTCTTCGACTATCGCTATGTCATCTTGAAGGATGGTATTGTTGAGGGGGTAGTAATGATTGGAAAAGATATCGACTTCTTTGACGTCAAAATGCGTGCTGTTGACACCATACGTCCCGTCAATGCAGAGTTTCTTCGGCCCTAATCCAATTCGTCAGCGGCTGTGCATATATCCAGATAATGCAGGATTCCCCACCAAGCTTTTTGATATATTGACAGATCTCCTTCGTCCACTCGTTAGGGACATCTTTGTCAGCCCATATAATTCCATTGAGCTCATTGCCTGTTTCGTAGCCGATGATCGTGGGGTCCTCGGCATAGGTAATCCCGGTGTATTGATTGACATGAGTCAAGAGATGTCTGATATAATCTTTGAAATCGCTGATTATAGTCTCGTTGGTATAGAATTGCAAGGTATCTGGAGGCAGAGGTTTATCGCTACCAGAGATGTTGAACCCTCTCCAACGCAGAAAGTTGAACTTTCCCCCATGGTAGTAGTCCTATTCCCATTAGTTTAGCTGAGCCACTCAAAATTGTGATAACATACGTAGTCATCAGTAAGGGGAGCCATAATCCTCAATCCGTGCTGCCGAGCCTGGAACACTGCCCAGTCTATGGTCTTGAACGCATCCTCATTGTACACCCCTAGTTTTGGCATCAAGCTCAATGGGTTGCCAGTACTCACCCCAAGAGTCTGGCTCCGGATCAAACGAGCACCCATCATGACCAAGGTAGCCATTGCCTCTGTCACTCTGCCAGGTGTGGGGTAACTTGCGTTCAACGGTGCATAGAATGGCTCGCCCTCTGGCGGAATTACATTCTCGTCTAATCCAAGCCAGTATACATTTGCCCCACTCGCAGTGTACTTGTCTCCCAAGAGCTTGAGAGTTGTCCCTTCTCTGTACACGTATGAATTACGTGCCAAGTTAACTTTGTTGGGCTCAAGTAGTGTCTGAAGGATCTGTGGCGTCAAGGGCGCATGTTGAGAAAGAATAGAGCTGAAAGCCGAAGCAATGGGTTGGACATCGGAGGATGCCTGAGAGGGTACGTTTGAAGCTGCTACAGTGAGGGCTAATAAGGCAAACAACGGGAGATATCTAGCAGACATTATCGGTAAAACTTAGGATAACATAACCAAAATTCAAGAATTGAAAACAACCTTTTCAAGGACCATAAGTACACTTTTTCTCTGCCAGATGAAGTCATTCATCTCGGGATGATCTCGCCGAAAATGACATGGGCATTTATAACCCTGGGAGGTGACAATTATCGGATGAAGCAACGAATGGGAAAGGAAGCTTGAAGATAGAATGATGTGTGGTGAATGAGGGGTATCCCGCGTCTCCTGCACTAACGCGGGGTTTACTGTACATTAATGGAACTCCATGGCCTTTGGGAGAGCTTTCAGGTACCAGATCTGCGGAAAACCCAACACGAGGGCCTATAGAAGATCATCCTGGTAATAATAAGAGAGTAGAAAGGTATGAAAGAGATTGCGGACCGAAACGGGACGGATAAATAAGAAAGCCTAAGGACAAGAGGAAAAGCCACTTGACCCGGAAGAAATGCTTCCGCTCTATATGGGGGAATTAGTATCGCTCTGTAGAGCAACAAATGATTAGGTTCAAGACGCAGAATGTGTAGTAAGAGACTCTAAATGTTCAGAGATAATGACTTTGCCATGGAGAAGAGGAGGAGTTGTCGATGGAAGTTCTTACGGGTAGCTCTGAATCAGGCATAGCGTGCGGACAAACAGTTTGTCAATAGTGGGGGTAATATGGGACGGGTTACCCGGTACTTGGCTTGGTACCTCAGAAGATGTGGAGAGAATTGTAAAAGCAAGGCTAGCACAGACGAAGTAAACACATTTGTAAATTATCATAAACAGCAGTCTTTTCATAATTCTCACAAGTTTTTTGCTCAAATCGTCCTAGTGTTTGCACTTGTAGCTGTATCGTATCATTTCTACCCGAAAAGTCATCTCACCGCTTCGAGCCGCCTCCAGTCCTGTTGAGAGTCAACAGAACGGAACATTTCTAGTTTCCAGTCATTCTGCATCCTTACGATATCCGAAGCTTCCTGAGGCTTTACTTCATAGCCGTCTTCCATCTTGTATGGGAAGTTCATATATGTTCAACCCAAGGGAATACTGCATGCTCATGTATCCTTACCCTCTGAGCTTTCCTTCCTCCATCCTGCCTCCTCTCTCACCCTCTCCTCCACATACGGCATACCTATTTTCTGAGCCCGCAGCTCCACAAACTGCACAGCGCTCTCTAGATCCGGAGGAATGCCATACTCCCACAGCTTGGCCAGAATCTGCATACTCTCAAACGCATGCGCCCGCGGATCGCTGTAGTTGTCGCCAGAAAGCCTACCGTTCGAGACCTCGGAGATGAGGAGTTCGATGATGGCCCGGCGGAAAAGACTCAGTCCCTTTTGGCGTAGTAACTGAATCAGTTCTTCTCCCATATTCTTTGCTGCGTTGAAATCTCCGATCTTGTAGATATCCATCGCCTTTATATGGTACGTAGGTCAGTTGTTGGTTGCATTTTGGCACACAGAGAAGCGAGGGGACTGACCAAGAGACCTTGATCTGCGAGGAACACAAGATCATTTGGCTCTGGAAGCTCAGTCTTCTGTCCTCCAGATCTCATTTCGCCCTTCCAGCCCGGATTCTGGGTCATTTTGTGCATATTTTCAAGACTTCACAGTTGACAGCCCCAAGGGCCTTTGAGAATCAAGGCCTAAGAGCCGTCAGTGTGAAGTAGATAAAGAACGATTAGCGACAGTGTTGCAGAAAGCGAAGCCATCACCATCTATTCATTATCAGACGATCCTGTCCCATGTGCCCCCTCCCCAAACATGAACGTTTTGAGTAATCAATCGTCACTGAGGGGGTGGACATATTACATCAAACCCCTGCAAGTTGTCTATACGGATACGGCTAGGATGAAGCCGCTATCTAATTGGTCTTTTTACTGAATTGTGTTACCAAGCATAAGAGAGGGGTACGATTCGATGTTTCCACCCCCTTTACAATACAAAATCTACACATGGGATGTGGATTGTTCTGGCCGCGTCATCTGATACAGGTTGTTCTGGCCCATGCCTCATCAGACCATAATCTTGAGAAGTGTTCCAGTGTTTCAAAATTAGGTATCAAAATCAGACCACAATTTCATGATTCAGCAGTATAAAAGCGCCATTGATTATCAAGGTTCAATAGTCGGAAGATATTCATGTCCTCAGATCTACAGGCAGTGCGTAGTTTCCCACTGTCCTGTCGAGTCACGACTCGACTCTCGAGATGCAACTTCACAACCAACTCGTCAATATGCTTCCTCTCGTCACACTTCCGTCAATCTCTTACTTCTTCCAACTTCCCAAGTGGAAAATAAACGTATTTATGGTAGGGTAGGCTATTAAGTAGGCCCGAAGTAAGCACAAAACATGCTCTGACAATCGAACGATGATCACGCCAAGTGGTACGATTCTCTTCCGGTCCAAAAGATCTCGCAGTCTCGCGAGAGTCCTTGTAATGTTCTAGATTCTACAGCTTCTAATAGGAAACTCTGGAAAGAGAGAGCATAGAAGTGGCACCACATCTGCCAGCGATCGCCTTTTAGAAAGCTCAACGGAAGTCGGCGAATAATTGACTGTCCCCGAGAGAAAGACTGAGTTGCAAATACTGCGGAGTAATGGCGGGATTCAGGTAGGATAGAGAAATCCCAAAGCATTTGAAAGAGTCTTGATGGGAGGAGTAAAGTAGGAGAGTAAAGACTTTGTTTGCTAGTCTGCATTTTGTCCAGTCAATCTATGGCTATAAGTCTATTTACGCACTTTGGACTCAATGCGCAAGCGCTCTTGATATAGCTGACATCATAACGCATACAAAAAAAAAGTCCTGCCTTCAAAAAACAAATTGAAACTGAGTAGCTGAGAATGGCCCTCTTATCCTGACTTGAAAGCCTCCCCAGACCTGTCTTCCAAGTGTATTTATATAGAATAGCTAGGCGGCTACTCCATAAACTAGTCGAGTCGGGGCTTTGGGGCATAGTAGTCAGCGGATGCTCTTGTATATGCACAAGATGGGGGATACGGTTCTTGAGTTTCGCATTGTGGTGATCGTGGTGCTGTGGTTTGAGAGGGAAGGCTGCGTACTCCGTGATCGTCTCATAGCTAAGGTCACAGGTCACGGTCACGACGTTATGGCATGGTATTACGAAGGCATGGTTTGGGGGTTTCAAACATTATTCATTCCTGATCCACCCCGGGTTTCTGTAGACCCAAATTCCGTGCCCGTGTGTCCTGGAGACATGAGTTTCCTAGCTTGACAAATTCCGATAAGAAGAGCTTTTTTGTGTTGATTGTTTGACGTAAAGTGGGTTGCTTTGTTGACATTGATGGATATCTTCAACGAGAAGTGGGGTGACGATAGCCAGCCAGTCTTGGTGTTTTGTTTTGTTTCTAGAAGTACTGTTAGTATATTGAGCTTGGTATGAGAAGGAGGTAAGTACTTACTAAGATCGTAGAGTGACCTTGATTGAAGTATATTGTGTTTGGAGCATGTCGTGTCTGCTAATTTGTGTGTTGTTTTCTAGTACCAGAATTAGTATCTTGTCATCGCATCAAAGATATGTTTGTACTTACGATGACCCAAAGGGTGACCCGGCTTTAATCCATGTTTGAATGTGAAGATCTCCCACCCAGTCTCAGTGGCCTAACGACGATCATTCATTGATTGCTGTTCTGACGAGGTCTCGACTTTGTAGAGAAAATGTGTTTTTCTGGTCTGTGGCTTGAGAAGTTGGTGGGTGGTGGGTGAGAGATGTGAACACCGTTGGTAAGCAGTTGTTCTGCGACTTGAACCTGGCGGAGCATAATGGGGCTCTGAATTGTTGTTTGTTTTGTTTGTGGTAATGTGAACGCTATTATGGTAAGGAGGGCTACTGCGCCTTGAACCATTAGCGGAGCAGGATGGGTTCTGAATTGTTTGTTTTGTTTGTTGGTGGATTGCCACATTGTGAATGGGCTTGATGCCAGATTTGGATGCCGTTGTGTTGGTAAGGAGATATGTGTACTGCGACTTGAACCGTTGGCGGAAAGTTGTTGGCCAACTTGTTGTTTGTTTGTGGATGGATGCCACTATTAATGGACTTTGTGAAGCATGATGTTTGCTTTGGAGTTGTGATTTCAACTGGATTTTTTTTGTGGAATGCCATCGATGATGGGCTTGTGTTTGATCCCTGGAGAAATAATCCGAGGGTGGTTCTTTTGTGGATCCATTGTAGGATTTTGGAGGCGAGAGTGACAGTCTCTGGGCCAGATTTTTGTTTTGTTTTGTGCCGTACCGAAATAGGCGTTGTTGATAGAAATCATCTGATTGATGAACGTTATCGATATCGTTTCCCGCAGCTTCGAGGCGCAGAGATTTGATAGTGAGTCTCCAAGGATGTGGTCAACTTGTAGAGACATATTCCGTATACCGATTAAATGGGTTGGATTGTTGATAGAAATCACCTGACGTAGTGATGTTATCGAATTGTCATTTCCCGCAGCTTCGAGGCGCAGAAGATTGACGATGCCATAGTAGGTCTTTGGTGCCGTTGATAATCGGGCTTTTGTTCCGAGGTACTCTCGTTTCCCCCCCCCCGTAGATTGATCGGTGAGCTCGGGTCCTTGTGGACTGTCATGCTTGATGTGTTGTTTCAAACTTGCTTCCGGAGCTCTTCGATTTGAGCGAAAATCTCAGCAGCTAGGGCCTTAGCCTTGCTCATCTTTGGTGTAAGCTCATAGATGCTCTTGGTGAGCTCGTTGAGGATACTGATCTTCACTTCATCGTTGTCGCCGCCAAAGTCGACGAAGTCCTGAAATTGTTCTGGGATGATTCCCATCTAGACTTGCTACCACATTTCCTCGAGTCGTTGAGCTTCTTCTCTTTGGATTTGGATGACCGATGAAATCATGGCCATTTTGTTCAGAAGTTCGTCCAAGTGCACAGACTCGGGGGAAGCTTCACGTGGCTGAGGTTGTTGAGGTGCTTGTTCCTCGTGACGAAATCCTTGCTTGCGTTGTTGGTAGTGAATGTCATATCTTTGACGCGCA